CCGAAACAAAAATATATCTTACAACTCAAACAGGCACTAAACCTACACGAGTTAGAACAAAAGAGTAAAGAAACTGACCATGGGCTTTGTCATGATCATTCCTGCATTATTATGGAGACACTCAGCACTAATTGCATTAGAAATCAACACGCGCCTTCGACTCAAGAGAATACCTGTACTAATAAATATATCACATCTAAAGAATTACCACCTAACCCTCGAATACCACCAAAACAAGTTGATAAGCAGGAGCCTCAAAAACATGCTGGTCAAGTAAGTCAATTCCCAAAATATACGGAAATTTCGGACAAGAACAGCAACGACAATGCAAAACGACACAAACCATCACAAAATGAATTAACTAACTGTTATGCCATCCCGACTCGCGTTACCCATAGAACACCATCAAAGAAATCGACGTGGCGACGAAATAAACATGGCGCTAGAATCAACCAGACTGAGGAGGGTTTTCGCAAGGACAAATGGAAAGCCAATATGAGGTTTTTCCAGTATTATTACTAGAACATGATTTTTCCCTATCAAGTCGCCCTACTTCAATTCATCGCGGACAACGTAATTTAAATAATATTATTCAAATTAACATTAATAAAACTGTTATTTCCAATGCTAATGACTATTTCTACGTTCCGAAACTACTATTGACAAATACGATGTCATTAGCTCCCAAAATTGATGAAGTGAGTTGTTTTGTCACAGAAAAGAGTCCTGACCTTGCCTGTATAACGGAAACATGGTTAAACGACCGTATCTCAGATTCCTGCCTCGATATTCCAGGTTACAATTTTGTTCATAAAAACCGCAGCGTGGGTTCCCACGGAGGGGTTGGGGTGTACATCAGGAACACGATATTTTATAAGCCTCTGAATCATCTCCACCATACAGATTACGAAGTTCTGTGGGTCTATTTTCGTCCAAGTAGACTTCCTCGCGGGTTTTCCTGCTTGATACTTGGTGTCGTTTACCATCCACCTAATGCTAATGATGATGAAATGCTCCAATTTCTCTCCACATCACTGATTACTATTGAAAGCACCTATCCTGGCTGTGGGTTTATTCTTGCTGGCGACTTTAATCGGTTAAAATGCAATCGGATATTAACACAGTTCAGTTGCAAACAGATTGTTAACGTTTCCACAAGGGCCAACCAGACTTTGGATCTAATAATAACCAACTTACATTCGTTTTATGATAAGAACTCTGTCGAAAAATTTCCGCCATTTGGTCTTTCAGACCATAATGTTGTGATTGTCAATCCTTGTAAAAGAGAACCCAAGTCATGCAGTAGAAGAATTATCTCTAGGAGAGATTTACGATCTAGTAAAAGGCATGAGCTTGGAAGATACCTTACATCTATCGATTGGTCCTCTCTGAATCATTTTGACACATGCGAAATGAAACTCCAGTATTTCGAAGAGTTAGTACGTCTCGGTATTAGCACCATTATGCCAATAAAGAAAACGGCTTTGCATGTACACGATCCTCCATGGATTACTGCAGAATTTAAAGAGCTTATAAGGAAGCGTCAAGCTGCCTTCTGCAGTGGAAATGCCTTTCAGTTCAAGTATTACCGGAATCGGGTTAACCGCGAGCGAAAGACTTGCCGGGCGAAATTCTACTCTTCAAAAGTAAAGAATCTTAAATCGACCAAACCGAAGAGATGGTGGAAGGAGGTGAAGCAGATTGCTGGTATGGTACCTACAACCGGCTCCGATGACCTATGTAGTCAACTTCATTTAGACGATATCGAGAATATGCAACATCCTGACATTGCGAATTTAATTAATAACGCCTTTTTGGAGCCCATGAACTCCTTCAATCCATTGTCAACCCTTCCCCCCTTTGATAATTATTCCTCTTTTCAAGTAAACGAATTGGAAGTCTTTCATTTATTGAAAGCAATTAATCGTGGAAAGGCGTCAGGTCCTGACGAAATTCCCAATTGGGCTCTTAAGGAATATGCTGAAATCCTTGCACAGCCAGTATGCGCTGTGCTAAACAGCAGCTATGCCGAACAATAACTACCTAAATCTTGGAAGCTTGCCAACATTGTGCCCCTCATAAAAACTAAGCCCGTTAGCGACATTTGTAAGCAGTTACGACCAATTTCACTTACTGCCGCTATTTCGAAAATCGCTGAGGACTGTGTTGTTAAAAAATACATTGCTCCAGCTATCATGAGTATAATCGATCCAAGTCAATATGGAGTAATACCAAGAAGTTCAACTACTCTCGCTGTTATATATATGATCCATGAATGGTCGCAAGCTACTGATGGCACTGGCTCTGCTGTCAGAGTCATCCTGTTCGATTATAGAAAAGCATTCGACCTTATCGATCATGCTTTACTGGCTGATAAAATTTCCAATTTAGCTATTCCATGCACCTGCGGTTGCTCGCTGGACAATCGATTTTTTGATGAATCGAAAGCAGAGAGTGAAATTATCCAATGACTGCTATTCGGAGTGGGGTGATGTACTTTCCGGTATCCCTCAAGGTACAAAATTAGGGCCCTGGCTTTTTTGTTTAATGATAAACGATCTTGATATTTGTGATATATCGAGGTGGAAGTTTGTTGATGACACAACAGTTGCTGAAGTAGTTAGTAAGGACACAGAGAGCCGTGTTCAAGCCGCAGTTGATGTTGTGGAAGATTGGTCGAAGGCAAATGGGCTATCTCTTAACACTGAGAAATGTAAAGAACTGAGAATCGATTTTAAAAAAATTAAACAACCTTTTGATCCTGTACTGGTGGGTGGAGAAGCATTGCCTATAGTTGAGAGTGCAAAAATATTGGGTCTTGTTATGACAGGCACACTTCAGTGGAAAGATAACATCAGAGAAAGTATAAAGAAAGCTAATAAACGCCTCTATTTTATAGTACTATTGAAACGGGCAAGCGTAAATGTCAATGATGTCTTGAACTTTTATTGTACAGTGATCAGGCCTGTGCTCGAGTATTGTGCGCAAGCCTTCCATCATTCCATCCCAAAGTATTTGGCAGACGAACTTGAGACTGTCCAGAAACGTGTGCTAAAAATTTTATCTCCTGAAATGTCATATTGTGAGGCCCTTGAGTATTTTAGACTGCCTACTCTATTTCAAAGAAGAGAGGACATGTGTGACAAACTCTTTACGAGTATCATCAAGGATCCAATGCATAAACTTCATCATCTGCTGCCCCCGAAGAACGAGACTGATTATTCTTTCAGGACGAATCGGTATTTTAATATGTACGTTACACGCACGAACCGCTTTTATAACTCTTTTATTCCTGCTATGTGTAGGAAGTTTGTTAGGATAGATTTTATGCTTATTTTAATCGAATTTTGATCGTGGGGTGGGTTTTATAATATTGTATTAATAATATATTTATATGTAGTGCATGTGATAATATGTAATCCACGCAATTCAGCTTCTGGCTGCAATGTGGTTTCAATTTAATAATAATAATAATATGTTGTATAAATGGTTACAATTACACATGCTATAAGCTCTTTGTATCTTGATAGTGTTTTGGAAATTTTTGATTTCCTGCAAGCAGTATGAAACCATTCATGTATCAGTATTTTGTGTTATTTACTAACTTTATACATGGTGCTTTTGTGGGGAATATAATACAATGTGCATGATGTCATTTGTGGGAAGAAGACATTTCAACTAATGTGGAAAACAGATGGCATTATAGTTACTGTCATCTCTGATAGCTTTTTGATAAAATTTCAATAAGAGGCTTGACACCTCATTTTTATCAAAGGTATTAGGACATTGCCCAGTGTCCACTTGTCGAGAATGTTTGCCTCCAAAACAGTAGTCCTCGACAAATCACATGTATATATAAGTTTTAATAGAAAATATAAGAATACCCAAAATCACATTGTATGCTCGTCGCAGCTGTCTCACATCCGTTCTCTCTCGCTGTCACGATGACACTCACTAATACCTACTATGACTAATCTCCCTAATTAACTATCCCTCCCTAAAGCGTTATACGATATATCTTATCTGTTTGGTCAGTTCCCAACACACTCCCCCATATAGCTCAATCAAGAGTTATATGTTCTTTGGGACTGACTTCGTTGTAGTTCCATCCATGTTCTGTGTAGTGACTACCTATAACAAAACTAAATTATTAATACGAACTAAATAAACATTGTTACACATCGTCTCTGTCCGTTTGAGCATGCTGTTGCATTCGTAAATCCGCTGCTACGGCTGCGTCTCTTTTTGGCCGAGGAATGAAGGTGGGAGCGGAGGGATTAGGTTCCCAGTTCTTTTCTTCGATGGACAACTCAAGTGGGTATAAATGCTGGATCGGCCTTTCGAATACACGGTTTGCCGTTCGTACTTTGGCTCCCCGTATCACTTTTCTTTACCCTTGATGAGGTCCGACACTATACCCAGTTTCCAGGTATTCCGATTCTTGCTTTCGTCCGCTATGATGACCGCTGATCCCTTTCTGGGGCACGATGCTTGCTTACCCCTCGCGTTCACGTGTCGTTCTCGCAGACTCCGTACATACTCTCGAGACCATCTTCTCCACATCGCTCGTTTGCACCCTTTTAGAATTTTCGCCCGCTTTCGAAGGTCTTCCTCATCCAGATGTCTTGCCTTTAACTCGGGTAACCGACTCGGGTTAATATTTAATATCGTGGCTGGCGTTAGAACTGAAAGTTCGATGTCGTCTTCGAGGTAACTCAACGGTCGATTATTGAGTGCAACTTCTACGTCTAAGACAACGTCCTCTAGTTCTTTGAACGTGAGAATACCATTACCAATCAACTTGTGGAATGCACGTTTGAACTCAAGTCAACTTTCCTAAAGAAAAAGATGGATGAGTTAAAACTAAACCCCAATGCTAAAAAATGGTGGCAATGTATAAAACAGCTTGCGGGTTTCGCCAAGAACAAAACATTCTCTAATTTCGTTGTAAACAACCAGGTTTTTGCTGGTAAAGAGTTAGCAGATAAAATCAATGATGTTTTTGTCTCATCTACCCAAGATATTCCTCCCTTGAATAAGTCTCCAGTTGATGACCTAATTGAAAATGGCAGTACAAGTATCCTTCCACAGTTTATTATCGAAGAAAAAGATGTATACTGTAAATTGTCCGCCATCCCCGTTTCCAAATCACCTGGTCCTGATGGAATACCTAATTGGGTGCTTAAATCTTATGCATACGTTCTTTCTTCCCCTGTGGCATCGATTTTCAACGCTTCGATTCAAGAAGCAGTTGTACCCTCAATGTGGAAAAAAGCGAACGTTATCCCTGTTCCAAAAAAAGACATTTCTAAAGATTTGCGCCCTATCTCACTTACCCCCACTTTATCCAAAATTTGCGAACGGTTTGTTACAGACTGGTTACTTAAGTCAATTGGTGCAAAGATTGATACGCGGCAGTTTGGCTCCGTTAAAAATTCCTCGGCTACCCATGCCCTACTGAGCCTGATCCATCACCTCCTGAGTGCTACAGATGCTTCAAGCAATGCGGTGAGAGTATTCTTGCTTGATTTTGAAAAAGCTTTTGATCGAATAGATCACAACATACTGGTGAATAAGCTACAACAAATGAGTGTTTCCCAAACCATTATAAATTGGATTAGAAGTTTTCTCTCTGATCGTAAACAACGAGTCAAGTTGGCTAACTGTCATTCGGACTGGCAAACGTTAAACGGTGGAGTGCCGCAAGGGTCGGTGTTAGGGCCGGCTTTGTTCCTTGTTATGATAAATAATCTTCTTATTGATTGGAGCGATAGATGGAAGTATGTTGATGACAGTACGTTTGCTGAACGAGTTACATCAACTGAGAGTAGTGAACTACAAGATCTAGTGAATGTTATCTATAATTGGTGTGAAGTTAATAATATGAAGCTCAACATCGACAAATGTAAGGAAATGGTAATTGACTTTGCAAGAGAAAAACATGAGTTTTTACCGTTAACTATAAATAACGTTGGTATTGAGCGGGTAAAATCTGCCCGAATTCTTGGTCTCTCAATCCAAGATGATTTGAAATGGAACGAGCATGTGAACCATATTGTTAAAAAAGCGGGAAAACGCCTTTATATGCTAAGGTTGTTAAAACGATCAAATGCCGACAATAGCATTCTAATTTTGGTATACTGCACCATTATCAGACCAGTACTCGAATATGCCTGCCAAGTTTGGCACTTCAATATTACAGAATACCTAAGTGAAGATATCGAAAAACTCCAGAAGCGGGCTCTGCGTATTGTCTTGCCATTCGCTACTTATAGAGAAGCTTGCAGTATTACTGGTATACCCTTACTGAAAGATCGGCGGCGATTATTATGCGAACGTTTTTTTGTTAAAAATGCACATGGAGACAAATTGGGTGACCTCTTACCGCCTAAACTTGAACATAACTATAATACACGTTATGGAAGCGATTATAATAACTATAGTTGTAAAACGGACAGATTTATGAAATCGTTTTTTCCACAGATGGTTTCACATATGAATAGACCATAATTTTAATATTTTTAATATTTTTAAATTTGAACTCTATAACTTTTTCAACTGAAGTTATGAATAATTTTATGCATCTAGATATTCTATTGTAGTATAATGAGACTTTTTACTGATGTAATTTAACCTAATAGGTTACAAATCGGTATTTTTATTAAATTATTAAATTATTAAATCTATCTATCTATCTATCTATCTATCTATCTATCTATCTATCTATCTAATGTCAATCAGAGCTTGTCAATCTAGTTGCGCCTACGGGATCGAATTTTAGTTATTAGTTAGTTGCGTGACTCAAGGTCTGTTGTGTAAGGACAAAGTTTTGTATCTGTGGACGCTATCGTGATAGCTGTTGGTAAACTATTTCTATCCACATTGTATTCAACGTACTCGCAGTGGTTTTCAAGCCAAAGTTAAAAGTCATTGGTGCGCGTGTAAACCAACGTGAGTACACATTTGACCTTTCTTTTGTACAGTTGCAATCGTAGGTTCTATATGTTGTTAAATGATTTAGTTATTAATGTATATTCAGTTGAAATATTCAGTTATGTTTAGTTAATGCATGTTAGGGTATGATACAGTATAGTTCATTTATTGATAGTTATTGCGTATTCGTGCGATCGCGTGATTCATGATATAGTCACGCAAACAGTATTTTCATAGTTTAAGTAGATATTTTTCATTGTCATGTTATTTAGTTCGAACCGATAATCGATAACCGATTGTATACGACTATACCTTCTATTCTCGTGAACATTTTGGATCCGTATTATAAAGTATAACCTTATTTACGAACTGTGTCTGTGTTCATTTGCCTATCATCTATCGAGTTCGAAATATCTGCGCACCATTCAACCCGAATGTAATCTTATTGGTTTACAGTCAAGTAATTTCAATTGTTAGTCCAGTTCATTTGTTGTTTTCTGCCATTGGGATTACAATAACAACATTACTATAGAGGCATGATTTAGCAATCTCATAATAATAAAACACGCCCATTGTACATGCCGACTAGGTTGAACTCTGGGTTGAACTTTTGCGGTTGTGAGATTTAACCTTCAGATGTCAACCTTAAATTAATGAATTAGCTGTAACTAATTGTTCACTACTACTACTGCTGCTACTGCTATTGTATATGCTACTTCATTCCGTCCGATGATGACTTATCTCCGACACAGTGGTCTTGTTAAAATTCGTAAATTTAATTTCAAGATGGCGGTATTCTTCTCTCGAATCTAGTTTTCTTCTACCGTGCTTGGTTCTTTGTATTGTTGAACGCATGTATATAAATAATTAATTGAATTATTTCCTAAGGTGGCTGCCTACAATTTTTAACTCAGAGATCCCAAGGATAGTGCAAAGTTGATATGACAAATGATAATTAAGATTTTAATATGTTGATTCGCATAATGATTAATGTATGAACTGATAGGATTGATGCATCTATAAGGAAGTTGTTTGGCGTTTGTTTTTATATATTACAAGCCACGACAGTAACTTTTGTTGTTTTCGCATGGATGATTTTCCACGGCTTAATCCCTTGAATGGTGGCTTTAGTCCAGATCTTTTTTCTTTGCTTTTAATTCAATTTTCTACCCATTTTTCGTTGTATATTTAATACAAAACAAAATAAACCGCCTTCGAAAATCGAAATGAAACAAAAATGAACAGCTTGCAAGAAATTGTTGTCACCTGACAGGACGAGTTCAAGTCCACTGCGTGCTGGCCACGTGCCCCAGAAGTTGCTGTCTAATGACTTTACAGTAATATATAATATGCAAACAGAATTATGGCCGACATCTAAATATTTCTCACTTTGCGGTGCCCGCTGTGACTTTGTTTGCGAGTTTGTCTACTTGCTAAGCTTTAATTATCTCTGGTTTTATGGGTCAAACAAGGACAAAAATACTACTGTTCGAATCAGCGTAAGAAATTATATTCACAGATGTCAAATGTATTACTAAACAACAGTATTCTAGCGATTTATTGCCTTTGAAAGACAAGCGAAATTGTATTGTTCACAAATCGCTCAAAATTATTGAACTAATTAAAAATGCAGTCCGTTTGATCCTTGATAACTTCGGAATTGTTGGTTTTCTCGTTTTTGGCCGTATGCCAGCGGATTCGTCTCACTTTTCTCCTCATTTTGATAGTATTTTGAGCGCAAATATTTTATTTTGAAGGCTTTAAAACGCAGTTTTGATCCTAATATACAGACCAACTGGCGGCCGACAGGAGAATGTGTAGCGTGCTAAATATAACTTTACTTGTGCATGTAGGCGGAAACGCCGAAAGTTTTATTTGTAGGCGGGCACCACATTTTACTTTAGTATTGTGTCTGTTAAATATAATATTTTACAGTTTATCAATGAAATATAAATACCAATAGTTCAGTTGAAAAAAGCTTGGAATGACTGTTTATATATAACGTCTCGGAAACAATACGAACTGACATTAATACTGACTATAGATTATATTGAGTACAGAAATTTCTGCTATTAAAAATAATATACTTCACTACAAACATTAGATCATTAATACAGACATTTATAGTTCACTGGGACATTGGCTCTCGCTGGCGTCGCCGCTACAATATAATACGCTCGACCTCGGCATGTTGCCTCTGGAGCAAAATTTCAATTTTAATTTTATGATTTACTATTTATTGAATATTGGGCCATGTAAACCTAGCTCTATCGCGATATAATAATACAAGAATAAGCTAACTGATATAGACTGGGAGCGGTCCCTCTTTCCGCGGGTTATATCGTGATATAATAATACAAGAATAAGCTAGCTGATAGAAATCAGCTGCTGACTTATAATTTTATATCAAAACTATCCATTGGCACTTATTCATGCATACATCGCTCCGTATCTTTCGTAGATATTAAACCACTGTGCTATAATACTATCAACCTCAGATGTAATACACTCTATAGTCTACACGATTTCACACCGCCGCTCAATAGTCACCGCTCGTCCATGTCCGCCATTGTAAAATAATAACATATGAAAGCACGTGTATTATGCACGTGTATTTATGTTACAGGGGGGCATATCATATACTGAACAAGTGCTTGAAATGCAACAGTAATTTGGTTATAGCCTAACTGTTATAACTTCTCTAAATGTCAGATAAATAAGTAAGAACATGTACCATCATGAATATAAATATAGATTGTTATAATCTACAAACAGCTATGAACGATTAGTTGGCCGAACAATGCGAACATCGCGAAGCTCTTAGTAGAAAACGTAATAAAAATAATTTGCAAGCTCCCCCCGGATTGTTTACTCTATAGATCGGTCACTGAATTGAATTTAACCTCATAACAATAGTGCAAAGCAACTTTGCACTAAAAATAGGGGGAAATCATAAATTATATCAAACTTTTGAAGGAATTTTACTTGTCAGATATAAAAAATTGTACAACTTTTATAAAGGAACAGTATCAGAATTTGAAATTTGCCACATAAATAACGTCACCACAGTTGCTATGGCAACAATGACGATTCATCATTGCTGATATTTTTTTACTTTTAACCACTTTACTTGAAAAGGTAACACTAATTTTTATTTCAGGAAACGTTTTTTCGTAGTACAATTAATAGACTACCTGACCGAGTTTTAAAAATTCTGCAGTTTGCTGTGACCTCGAAAAAAGCCTAGAAAACGATTTTAATTAAGCATGTCTTGGAACTGAAATGTATTTATGGGAACTAACACTTTCGAACACGCCGAGTTCAAATCCGAAAACGTCCCGCACCGTAGACCCGCTGTTTTCTCACAACTGCGATTTTCTCTTCACTAATTTCACGACAAATTGTTTTCATTGTTCAAAAACACGGATGGATGAAGACACACGATTGTAGGCTATAACTCAAAATGACTAATTCCTATGAACCAGTCTCTACAGGGTGTCCCAAAAAAAACGAAAACTATTGAAATCACTTATTGTTAAATTTGAATGCCCTACCAAACAGCTGGACGTAATGATGGGTAAAATATTGACAAGGTGCATCTATTAGAATTTAGTTAGGAATATCTCCTGGTAAAGTGCGCGATTTTCTGCTCCTGGGAATTAAAAACAGCTTCTTAAACAGTTTCTTTATGCATAAAATTTACTTATGTCAATCATTTATGCACTCGAGGGAACCAACAGAGCGCTAAGGCATTCAAATTCTAACAATTAAATTGTTATTGCTGATTTCAATAGTTTTCGGGTTTTTTGGGACTCCCTGTACATTGAACAAAAGACCGTTTTGCTTGGATTATTTTGAGTTATGTAATTTTAAGCGCGTTGGACGTAAACAACATATCTTGTCTACAACTTTGGGAAGGTACCGATATCGCTGTAAAATCCTCAGTTCTGGCTATATCTCTGTAAAATCGTCATATCATATATCTCTACATCAATGGTAAGTCGTTGGGCTATGTCTCTGGAATGAGAAATAATTCCTTACATGCGATCGAAATGTTTTATGCAACGGTGTAAAACGGTAATCATTTAGGCTACATTTCCAACACAGTTTCCGAGATGTAATTCAAGAGGTAACTTATCATTGCATTTGAACTATTATATCAGTTTGTGTTATTCTGTGCGATAAGCGAATATTATTGGAAAGAGGGCTGCCATATACGTTAAAATCACCAAATAAACAGCTTATGCACACATTTCTCCACTTCGTCGTAAGTTTACAGAGCAGATTTTATACTTTGGGACTGATCTTTGTCTTTGATGTGAACAATTATTCTTCTAGTTTAAGGTTATCTAAGATTGATCATGTCGTATATAAAGTCTTCTACCAGAAACCAATCGACAATATTTCATTTTAGTGTTGTCTTTGCCGTTACGTTGGCTTCGCATTACTTTTGTTTTAAATACCTTGATCGCGTTAAATTAGTTATTTTTCAGGCCAGTAACATAGCCAAAAGACTTGCGATTTTACAGAGATATCGTTAGAACTGAGGATTTTAGAAGGTGTTGTCTGTACCTTCTCAAAGTTGCAGACAAGATATGTTGTTATATAGTTAGTGTCAAAGTTCAATTTTTCTGTTTGCCGATTGGTTAAAACCGTGTCACGTGCTGGTCCACAAAACGTCATGTTCGGCAACCGGTCCGCAATGAAACATTTATTGACCGGTCAATAATAAAATGGGTGCAATACGCATGCGTGTCAACCATGAAGTTCCAAAGTTCATTTTTAAAACGTTTTACTAAACATTTACGGCGTTCCATTTATCCAGTTTTGGTTTCAAATCAAGTTCACTCCAATAACCGGTGAATATTTATACTTTGACACTTGTATACTATATAACAAAACACTTATTTACTGAGACCTCGGGATTCGCCTCGGGCAACAACGGCGGTCTCGGGTCCACAAAACACACTGTTTCCCTCGGTCTCAGCAAATAAGTGATAATTGTTTACGTCCAACACGCATAAGATTACATAACTCAAAATGATTCGAGCAAAACGGTCTTTTGTTCATAATAAAAGAAAGACTGGTTAATAGAAATTGGTCGTTTTGAGTGATATAATAGAGAGTTTAAGTTCGACTTCCGATACCAATACCGATCTTGATGTCTTCACTTCCGGGACGCAGCTGACGGCCTAAAAACCATGCATGATTTTTTTTTTTCAAAATTTGGCTGTACAGAATTGTTTAAAGTGCCTATGACACGAAATTTCACCCCAAATGTTTATGATTGCATTGTAAAGATCACTTAAAATGACTTAATAATTTCTTTTATAGAAATTTGGTAACTTATGCGGTATGACATCACATCGCATAATGACATTTTGAAAACGCAATATTTTACCTTGATAAAATATTTTTACAAACAAATACAGTGGGTTAATTACCAGTTATGAAACTAATACATATACAAGGGCAATATTTAAGTTTTTTAGATACGTATTCGTCAAGAAAACTATACTTTTATGAAAACTCATTATGTGATATGATGTCACACCGATGATATTTGCATATGAAACAAAGTTGAATATCTTGAAAAGGGAGCAAGTTACCAAAATTCTATAAAAGAAATTATTAAGTCATTTTAAGTGATCTTTACAATGCAACCATCAACCTTTGGGGTGAAATTTCGTGTCATAGGTACTTTAAACTAGGTCAGATAGTCTAACGTACCTGACATATTGAATCGCCATTGTTTCCACAGCGCTAGCAACCGTAATTTTTGTGACCAATTTCCAACCGTTTCATTGTTGCTCTATATATATGGTGTACAATTTTTTATTTCTAGCAAGATGCAATGTGAAAAATAAGTACGTTATTTTGAGGCACCTCGGGGATGTGTTTATTCACCTCGGCGCTGCGCGCCTCGGTGAATAAATCACATATCCCCTCGTTGCCTCAAAATAACCTATACTTAGAGTTAATCTAATTTATGCATTTTCAACATTTTTAAAAAGGTAGAGAGCCGCCTTAACAATAGTAATTCCGAAAGCAACAAACATTTCAAAAACTGTTTATTTCCCTATTTCGACTAAAGTGTACTGAGTGACTCCAGTAATTTATTAACTTTTACCTTCTTGGCCTTGCTGTTATCAGTGTTATCAGATATAGTGGAGACATTAAGGAAATTTGGAGATGTTTCTCTTAATTTATGAAAACCTATCTTGTCGCCAGTGTCCTCTAGAAAATATCAAAATAAGATCTTTAAACGAAAGGAAGAAATATACACTACCACAAGACTAAGTACTGTATTACTCCCCTAAATTGAAAAGCAAGAAATATGTACTGTAAGATAATGGTTAAAAAGGCAAGACAATAGTCGAAAATGTAATTTGGCCCAAAATTCTTCCCCCGCACCCGTCTACAAGAATTTCCCCGTCTTTCGAAGTTTAGCTGGGAAATTTTTTTTGATTGGTCGGCAAAATGAAAACAAGTTTAACGAATTTCTTTCTGCCCCCTTTTTTTCCCTCCCGTACGCCTGTGCTTATCTCGATTGATTAAAATAAAAGGCGATGCATTGCCATTGAAGAATTTTGTCCTTTCACCAAGTCAAAATGTTTTGGCGATCGATACTGAAAATCATAATAAACATATGCTGAAATATCAAAATATCTTATTACTCATTGGTCCTGCAGCGTATAGAAAATAAACTGGGTTGTTCAGATTGGTTCTACCATTAAGTCCAAGATCTAACTTGCGTTGAATCCTGAAATACAGAAAAAACAGACATTTTATGAGTGCATATCAATGAGAAATTGATAAAATCTAATTTCATACTTGTCTTTTAATTATCCATGAGAAAGTTAGTCTTTTTAGTTTGGTTATATCAATGACGTTACATGAAACCTGATTAACTTGTTCTTGCCTCCACGAGCCCTCGTTGCTTCATGGGAAAGTCACACACATTTGCTGGTAGGCCAGTTAGATATATTGGCGAATATTTTGCATGAATTAGGCAAGAAAATAAACAAAGAAATTAACAAATATTCCCTTTAACGGAGTAGCAACTGAACCGGTGATGGAAATTCAAAATATTTTATAGCTAAAATGCAGTTTTCAAAACACGTCCAAAACAACGAAGAATAAATCATCAGCTTTTAAAGTTCTCTCAGAACTGGTTCTGTCTCAGTACTAATTTTGGCACTAGCAAAGGCATGTAAACCTCACTTCTAGTTACTAATCACTCACTTCACTTATGGAAATGGATGCAATTTTGTTTATAAAATCTGGCATACCACCCTGTATCAAGAAAATCTGTGACCTTCCCACGAGAACTTCAAGCCCACACAATTTATTCTAGTCTTCCGCTTCCAATTATGGTATAGTGATCAATATTTGAAAAAGCCATTACCAAATAGATCAATCTTACCAATATTTTCATAAAATGATATTGTTTGTGAAACATTAAAGAATTATTGGATGAGGCTGAGCATGCAGGATATCAAGGATTACTCAGACGGAGGTCAATGTCATCTGCCGAAGAGAAATGAGGTCTTACTAATTGAGATCTCACTAATTCTTGATATCATGCGTATGTCGAATCCAATAATTGCTTTATTGTACATATAATCAAAAGAACCGACAAGAAAGCCAAAACTGGCGGCCAATAGGAAAGATGAAAAAAGCATAATATTTATTAATATTTAAGAGAAAATAATAAATACTCGTCGAAAATAGTTATGCGTTAGGTTTGCATGGACTCCACCGCGTGCAATAATAATATTTTGGACCAAGGTATTGTTGCACGAGGCAATTGTTGCTACAATTGGTCACGCAATTTCGGAGACAGAGCAATGTTTTCTAAATAGTAGTCACAGAGAAATTACAGCCAAAGTTGCCTTGTGTAACATGACCTTAATGGAACTCAAAAATTTAGCTGTCCTCTAGTTTGGAAGAACAATTGATATTTCTCTGCATGCATATATGCATGTATAGCTATATGTATTGATCACACTTCCAAACTCATCTGCTGTCACATTCAAGTAGCCTACGAATATATTATCATATATTAATTAAATTATTGAAACAGGAACGTTTAAAAATGCCATGTTAAGCGTGACACGGATAAAGAATTCTTTATTGATTTGAACATATTTATTCATGATTTTTATTCTATTCAAGACTAAAATACAAACGTTAAGACAGATCTACCTCGTAATAACTGAATGAATGTCCATTTTGCAATAAATGAATGTTCACTAGAAACCATCGTTTTAAACCATACTATATACCCTATACTGTCTCTTCTATACATGTTTTAAATGTTTTTGCACCATTGTTTAATTGATTTACCATAACTGAGCTAACAAAATATAGTTTGACTACAATTTCCTATTCAATGTTATCTTCCTCTGGTTCGGGACAGAACCAAGACTCGAACTCAGCATTAGTCAACTCATGAGTCTCAACAACGCCATTTTTATTTTTATCTGCTAAATTAAACCATTTCTCAGCTTTCTCTTCTGTCATATTACAAGCTTTCATGATAGTTTTAACTTCATTCACTGTGATTTTACCATCATCATTAAGATCCATCGCTTTATAAAAGGCATTACAAAGACTTTCCATCAAAGTCTCCTCACCAAGCTTCTTCTTCTCAAGCTCGGCTTCGCTAAGATGACTCACGCCCTCGAGAAATTCTTCTTTCGTGACTTGTTTTCCTGGAAGGAGACCAGCCGCTCCATAAAAATCTTTCAAACACTTCTTCAAGTTTTCACATTCTTCTTGGGTAATCTGACTACATAATTCTTTCATGTTGTCTGACCATTGTAAAATCTCCTCAACTGTGAGGTACCCATTCTTGTTTAAGTCGACGGCGTCAAAATACTCTTCCATTTGTTGGACCCATTTTTTATTTTTTGTAAGATCTTGCAGAGCTTCATTCGTTTTCCCTTCTTTATCGCCAGAACTTTGTCCCTTTGACGTTTTACCTCCCATATCTTGTATATTATACAAAACAACAGAAAGATAAGCCACACTCACGTCCTGACTGATTCTTGGTTTCTTTCTGACAACAGAGCACAATACTCGAGCGTTAAATAAACAGCTTCCAAATTTTGCAAGCTTTCCCAAATCAATCTGACAAACACTTCAGATATTAAGGCAAGTAGCAAATTCCCGAATATTCGAGCCTTCTATGTGGCGGTAACTATTGGAATTTTTGCAAACTTGACATTCCTTTGTTAATTAATATGGTCATGATACTCTCGAGCACTTATAGTAAAGTTCGATGGAGGTATCATACCTGAAGAATATTGATTTTAGTCAACCAATTGGCATCAGAAAAACAGCGGCATTAAACATTACTCAGCAGTTCTCTTTAGGAATATACGTGAACTCGTACGGTTAGCTGTGCTTGAATTCATTTGGTTTCATGCTTCTTTCTCCAAAATTAGTATTCCTGTCAGATTGGCCCCTTTACAACCGCTCCCTTGTCTCGGCTAATCTATATGCTATTGACAACCAATATAAGTATGATCGTTATATACGCTCCCCTGTCCAAGGATTGGCACCGTGTTCAGTGGCGCCACCAGGATTTTTTTTGGGGGGGAGGGCAACTTAATAATTTGCGAGTCACAATTCTAGGGGGTCCGGGCGCATCAATGTAAATGACGTAATAATTCACATCTGACGTGCCCCAACCACCTATAACAACTGTTTCAAATCATGTAACGGGGATCACGAGTATTCAATATGTAATAAGTTTGCATTTAAGACAGCGAAGAATATCAATTAAGTTCTCCCAGTCTAATCATTCTTTCAGAGGGGCTTCGTTCGCCCCACTTTCATCCCTGTTCCACCACCCCAGCACGTAAGTGTTTTGCAAAGATCAGTGTATTTTTGATGCTCATATAGACTGAATATTTGGTATTTTCTGGAGCATCCACAAGGGAAACAACAACACATTTTAAGGATATATTTTCGTTAGCTTAGTAACTGCATATTTGTGGTTTAGCACTGCATAAATGGATTTGGAAGGAACTGCACATTTTCCAACCCCTCCCCAATTTCATTGAATTTGATCGAATCTAAAACTACATCCTCAAGTCCGTGCTTAGATTTAAACACCACTCCTCTCCGTATGTCAAAACAAGCCTGTTCTAATTTGTAACTAAACTCCAGAGGTAGACTAAAAGGTACAATGATTCCCTTGTCTGTGGTGTTAGGCCTGATTAAGACAAAGTGTGCAGTGTGGCTTAATTGTTAACCTCACAAGACTTGCATGATAAACAGTATTTCATAATAAACCCAAATTAGTTTAGGAGCACTGGTACAATGCTGTTACTTGGAATGAACATCAGTATGGTCAAAACTATAAATTGTCTACATCCTTGTTTCTATTAAAAAGTACTTAGCAATTAACAAAAGTTGATGCTTCATCATGTCTGTTCTTAACTAGCTATCTGACACTTTTTAATCAGATTTTTCATCAGCCATCATTCCAGAGACTTGGCAGATCTTCAATATTTCATAACTAACAACAGAAGCATATTTTCACTGTTCATTTTGATGCAGCATGTTGTGCACAGAAGATTCATATATTTTGCAGTATTGTGTTTAAAACATCAAATTCAAGAACTAGGGATCCAAGGATAGTGTGAAGTTTCAAATTTAAAAAGACTCTGCAAGAACTATATAGGGTTCCCGACAACCTAGAAAAGCTTGATGACTTACACTACGAAATAAACAGTTACCAAAGGCATTTCATCTCATTATTTATTGCTTTTAATACGCTCGGCACACGAGTAGCGTGACGTTTGAAACAAGCCTAACACATCAGAAACGTGCCTTGTGAAACTGATGCAATTCATCTATTTATTGTGTCACCAACAACCAAATTTTGCATATTCTAAATTTTCATTTGCATTTGCATTTGCAGCTGTCGCTGAAAGCATCCCCACAAGCCTACAGCTATGCTAAATTTATCTAATAACTATAATTGAAATAGCTGTATAAGATATGTTATGAATAATAAGCACTACGTCGTTACATCATTAAAAGACGCATTTTATCCTCATCCGTTCCGTATTTTATCCGCATATCCGTTCCTCACGGAATTTTATCCGCATATCCGTTCCGCATTTTAACTTAATTGTGACTAGTCCAGTCCCAGACCCTATTCTCGCCACACGGCGCGGCGGAGAAGGAGGGTCCAGAAGAATTTGCATGCGCATGCGTCAACTACCACCACACATATGTGGAGGTCGCCAGGTCGCTAAGCTCTGTTTACTGTGGGGAAAATCCGCAATGTCAAAGGAAAGTTCTGATACTCTTGCAGCGCTGATTGAGAACAAGTTTCTTCATATTTTTGGCAGAGAATTTGTTGAAGCCGTTAAGTTTGCCATGGAAATGTGTAAATATAATTTTTTGCCGAAGTTTGAGCAATTGCAAGCGATCTATTACCTGTCTCGCGGTAAAGATGTATTCGTTCATCTGAGAACTGGTTTCGAAAAGTCGCTGATTTACACGCTCTTTCCATATGTTTGCGATGCTCTGCGATCGTCACCAAACAACGATTGCCGTTCATCTATCGTCGTTTTGATTTCACCACTAATTTCCCTCATGGATGATCAGATGGCTAAAATGGCCGAACGAGGAATACATAGCGTCAAGCTCACCGATCTTAAAGACCGACAAGTTGAGGACGTTCGACGTGGAAAATCGAACATCAAAATCGCTTTGTTATCCCCTGAGGCATTTACCAGTTTGACTGTAAGGGAGACTCTGAGGGAACTGAAAGAGCATATTGTTTGTGTGGCAATTGATGAGGCACATTGTGCACTACAATGGTAGGTCTATGCTAGATATTTTAATAATTTAATAAATAAATTAGCCAAAGTGCTTTCCCTTGACTACAGAGCCTCATTCTATTGCAAGAGAATTTGGCTAATTGTCATATGTTTATACTAAGTTTTAAAGGATTATTGAAATTATTGAAAATGTGGCGAGATAACCAACGATTGGATAGGGCAAAATTTTTTTACACTTTGGTTCATCACGTTATATAATTAGCCTTGCAAATAAGTAACTTTATACAGTAACCTACTCTGAACTCACTTGATTTATTTTAAGGGGCAGAGATTTCAGAAGCGCTTACAATGAGTTAAAAGACATCCGTGCTTTAATGATGGCTGGATTACCTATAACTGCACTTACAGCCACTGCTAATTGCAAAACAATGAACTACATCACTGCTAAATTGGATATGGAAGGTTGTATTGTTATCAAATCATCTACAAACCGACCCAACATATTTTATAAAGTATGTATCCTTCCTAACTGTCAAGGGGATGATGATCAACTATTCCAATCCTGCTTTGGTTTTGTTGTTGAACAACTGTTGCAGCACAATGACAAAGCAGATAAAGTGATTATATACTGTACCTCAACTAATGATTGTGCTACCATTTACGAGTTCTTTGAAAATGCCTTGGGAAGCAATATTTATGATAACGCTAACCAATTATTGGTTAACATGTATGTAAAAGTTATGGATGATAGAACAAAAAAGGACATCATAGCGAAGTTTACCAAACCAGATGGTCCACTTAGAGTTGTTGTTTGCTCATCAGCATTTGGACTGGGGGTTGACTGTCCCAATGTGAGAACTGTTGTTCACTTTAAGTCTCCAGATACACTCATGCAATTTGTACAGGAGAGTGGCCGTGTCGGAAGGGATGGAGAAGCATCAAAGTCTCTACTGTTTGTTGGTGGAAGGGAGTTTGGTCATTATAAGGCTAAACTTACTAAATCGTCTGCCATGAAAATGCAATTTGACGAACTTGAAACAATGAAAGGGTATGCTATGAATACATCAACTTGCAGACGATTTTTGATTTTACACTATTTTGATGGTTCAGATGAAGCAGAAAAACAGTGCAAGCTAATGGAACCACAGAATTGTTGTGATGTATGTTTTAGAAGTGCTGGTGGGTTTGTAAGTACATCTGAGAAAGAGTTACGTTGTCTATCAATTGGAAAAACTGCAAATAAAGAAGTTGTTATTTACCCTCAACTATCTGGGAAGCAAAAAAGTGAAGTTCGACAACATTTGACAAAATATAGAGATGGTCTTGTGGCATGCAAGGAAACAAGCTTGTTTGGAGTTGACAAGGTAACTGGTTTCACTGAAACTGTTATTGAACAAGTTATTAGTAAATGTGATACTTTCTACTCCATCAAAGATGTGCATGATAATGTTGATTTATGGGGTGAAGACCATGCTATTGCCATTTTTAATATTGTTGAAAGTGTAAAAAATGTTAACACTAACCCCGTTTGATAAGATATGTTATCAAGAGCGTAAATAGGTCGATAATTGGAGGGCCATCTCAGGGCTCGAAACTTGAAATTTTTGTCAGTATCCAAGTGGATACCAGCATCATAGAATCTAGTATCCATCCTTGAAATATAGTAACCCAGATTTGGATACAAGATATTCTATTTCCAGTATCTAAGCAAGGCAAAATTTTACCTTGAAACCAGGCCTTCAGTTGCTGAGCAAAAACCAGGCCTTTAGTTTCAATAATAAAAATATGTATTGAAATTTGAAAAAATTGAAAATAACACACTGCGGCGATACGAAAGAAAGCACCGTTTGTGAATTTTTTTTTAATATTCTGCCAAAATCCGTAGACATTGAAGTTCGGAAACATGCCAAACGTCTAGATGATTATCTACTATCGCAATTTCTAAGTTTTCCTAGTATCCAGTTGGGATACTGAGCTTATGATACCCAGTATCCAAAATTAAAATCTGATATCCTGTGGATATCGGGATATCGCAAGTTTCGAGCCCTGCCATCTTCATATATTCGTGTTCTGCACAATTAATTTCTTTTAAAATCGATTGTTTTTACAGTCTGTGAACACGAATATATGAATATGCCCCCCCCCCAATTATTGACCTATTTACGCCCTTGTATGTTATAATATCTATGGTACATATCTCTGCTTATTGGAGAACAAATGACAACCAATAACAACCAGTTAATAAATTGTCAACCTTCATTATCACTTTCATCTTGTTCATCAACTGTTTGGTGACTCTTGGAGAATCTTTTCACCAACCGTTGTACCCACGTCAACACCTTTCCCATATCTAAATCCTCAAGTATGGACTTAGCATGGTCTGGAAAGGCCTTGTGTTGTCTTCCTGCCCGGAACTGAAAGACATTAATCTTTTGCAAATCATATAACATGTTTTCAACATCATTTTCTGAACTGAGTTTTGTGTGGGTCTTGCATTGTGGATTGACTCCACATTCTTGGTCAAAATTCAGAACAACAGCATCCAACTTTTGTTGTGCTTTCACAACTTTTTGTGAATTTTTTTCATCCATCTTGCCTCCTATTCCAGAAAGAAGTTCTTTTGTCTTCCTTACCTCATGCTCTACTCTCATATCACATGCGATGTTCTTACCATGCCCTCCAGAAGTATTTACAAATCTTCCCATTTTAGTTTATGTGCCATACGAGGTGTCAAGAGTGATTCAAGAAGTGCAATGTACCGAAAAGCTTCAAAAGCATATTTTGTCCTGCTCCCCTTTCGTCTAACTTTCGCCTTGAATATTAACAGGAGTAGCTTCCATATTCTTTCTTCCCTATCACCATCCCCTTCACGTATTGCATCTTCAAATTCTTGAAACACTAAGCCAAGAGACAACATTGAACATGCATAGTTGTAAACACAGTCCTCTTTAGTATTTGGACCATTTGAAGTTGTTGTAGTCGTTTGACCATCTATCCATGGAAGGTATGTGCGGTTTCTACCATCATGATTAAGTCCATCTAGGAAAACCATTATTATCCGGTTTTCCACTAGGCGAATTTGTTTGCACAAACAAGCAAAAAGCGAATGTGATTGGCCGGTGATGTCGTCAGTGTTTGTCCCCAGCCAATCAAGTTGCTTCTTTCTCTGTTTGCGCGAACAAATTCGCCAAGTGGAAAACCGGCTTAAGACATCATTACAAGAAAAATTAACATGTTAGCAAAGATAAATTAACATGTTAGCAAAAAGTAGTGAATACGTGTAGTATGTGTAATTGTAATTGGCATAATAATTTATGATATTGTAACTCAATTATTATAAACTGATGCTAGTATGCTACCATCAATTTCTGTACTTCCTTTTGGCTGCTTCGCATTCATTTTCTCTGCTGTAAAAACAAACAAAATAAGAATTAATTAAAAAGTAGCTTGTACTGTACCATATTTATTGTCAATTGTAATTGTATCAGTAACCTTTAACTAACATACCTTCTCTTTGGTATGTGGATGTAACATCCATGTCACCCATGACGAATTTATCCAAAATTTCAAATACACAGGTGTACAACCAATTTTTCTTTTCTTGTGATTTTGCCGATTCTGGTGGCGGGGCATGATTATTTGGCATGCCATCGAGTTTCTCCATTCCAAAATATTCTAATACAACAGCTAGGCAGTGAGCTTGGACAACATCATTGAAAAAGTCAATTGACTACAAATAAAAAATAATTACTCAACATTTTTCTCGTGATTTAACATTTGCTGAAGTTGTGTATGAATGAGAGTTGTTTGCTGGCCGACATTATATTAGTCTCTGATTACCTGATTCATTTCATGCTTAACATCTCCAGTGACACTTGTGCGATGCGAACTACACCGTAATTGGTATAATGTGCCAATGTCTTGTGCAGATTTGTCATCCCACAAGTATGAAAAGATAACCTACAGTACAACAAAAAATATTCCTTTGTTAGTATTTATTATTGTAATGCATTTACATGGTGCGTTCAACGTGAAGTTACCTCACTTCCCAAAAAACTTCCCACCCTCGAACATACTGTACCTAACATTAGTCCAGACCCTATTCTTGCCGCAGATGTTGTCATGCACAAGAAATAAAATGTATATGTTTTTCTGCACTTACAATAAGCAAAGTCATCTTGGTGTGCCAGTCCTCTGCAGTTGGTAGAACATCTGCCAGGCGTTGTTCTTTTTCTATTGATGTCTTTCTCAATCTCTGCACACCGACCGCACGCTCGCAAGTTAGCTGATCCCCTCCAAAGACTACTTGTTCTTTTGCCTTTCCTTTGTGAATATATTGATGCATAAACTCGAGAATATCTACCATACCTTCACTACATGCTTCATTTGCAAACACCAAGCCAAGATTGACAACACTGCTTTTCTTGCTCATTTGCTCACTGTATGTGTGTCTAATGTGCTTTGGGACATATTTCTGAAATGGTTTCAGGAAATTCAATTTACCAATTACATTGTGCAATAACAGGATAGCAAAATTACTTCTAAAATTGCTGATGTCATCAGCTGATAGCAAGAAGGATGTAAGAGGTAATTTTGCCAATTTGCAGATGGGCTTATCATCAGGTAATTCATCATATGGAATTCTGTCTTTCACTGCCAATGTTAAAAACCAATGACAATCCTTATTTTGGTTTGTACCCCTTTGATCTCTAGGCTATATTAAAAAAAGAAAAAATATTTTATTTAAGTAAATGTAACCTACCACATGGGGCGTGGCACACTAGGCAAGCTCAGCATGATGAACATTCAGGGTTTTTGACATTTCAAAGGTTTTTAGAAGCGTGGTACTGTGATGGTTGATCTGTAATTGGAAAAACAGGTATTTTTTATATTCTTATACTTACAGTTATTCTCATATCAATGTTGTCACCCAAAAACTTCACTTGACCTGGATTTGTTTCAAACCACTGTCTTACCATACTGTCATGGTTTTCACCAAGCTTTGCCACAAATGTTTGTGTGGTATCATAAGACATACATAGCTCCAGGTGATTCAGTCTGTTATACCCCTGTTAGTCAAAACAATCCCAAGCATAAGTTGTAGGATTATATTTCTAATTTTTGCCAAGTTTTAAGTTCGCTCAATTTTATTTCGTACAGCCTAAATGTTCTTGAAACGGAATCAGATTAAATAGAATTTTAGTTGATTACTAAGTATTTCAAGAACGATCTTTCTTGAACTCGACAAAATTCCAAGAAAAAACCCCATTTGCATGTGTTTTGTGCATGTAGTTCACCCGGTAAGTTCACTTACAGATAATTTTTGGCGGGAATTACTGCGCTGTTATTTTTTATTTTGTTTAAACAACAATTTAAAAAAAAAATGTTTTCATACGTGTCTTGGAGCACTGATATTCAAAATAGATAAATCCTATGATTTTATGTTCAAGAAAATTCGAAAAAGCAAGCTGTTTTGACAAAAATAGCACGTAATGTTAAAGGATGTTGGACTGTATAAATGATTAGGGAAAACAAAATGTCAATGTGTATCACGTAATATTTACCATTTTTGTCATGCCTCCCTTGAGAAGTAGCAAAGAAACCACGTATTGGGCAGCACTCATGTTCTTGTTTCTTGCCTTCATCAGCAAAGAAATAGCCATGCCTGCAGCAATCAGCTTCCTTTCTCTGGATTTATTTGTATTCCTTTCCGCACTTTTTAGATTAATAATAGCCAGTACAATTTGATACAACGTATTTGTTTTCTCATTTACTTCGTCCATCAACTTCAGGAAACTAAAATTGCAAATGTCGTTAACATCTTTCTTACGAAACAAAGTTGTATTGTCCGTTCCCGCAGAGCACATAGCTGCGCATTCTTCCTTCACTAAATTTACAGTCTTCTCCACACATAACTTTTTCCCGCAATCTGTATTAACAACTGTATGGACAACATTGGTATCATCATTTTTCATGAGAGAATGGCAAAGACTGTTCCACTTTTTGTTAACAAGAACAGATTGTTGCCCTCTCGCTGAATGGCATGTTAGCTGGTAAATAACATCGTCGGTGTTGTTTTCACTTTCGGTGAAAGGTGGAATGAATGGTAATGAGTGTGTAGAAATTGGAAGTGAAACTGTAGTAAATGTTTGACAGGGTGAGGAAAGATATGTCGTCGTGCTCACACTTGATGTCGTGTTTGCTGCATTAGAATGGGATGGCTAAATGAACATGATAACAAACATTTAGATAATTACACCCTCGAAGTCATATAAAGAAACACAAGATGATGAAACTACACAGTAAATACGTTCGGTTATCTCCTCTACAATGTATACTACTTCTTCATATTTTTGGTTTAATGGCGTGAATTGTCTGTAATAAGTTTATGGATTATTCGTCCTAATTTTGTGTTAAAATATTAGTGCAAACATTACAATAATTAACACACCCAAGGCTGCAAGACCAGGAGTAAAGCACTTTATGACGACCACATTATATTTATATAAAATTAAAGTGTTTGCAGTAAAAGAAAGCTTGTCTATTTTTGCGTATCAAATAGAAATTTATTTAATTACCCTATCTTTTGTCACAATACAATATTTGTCACAATAACTCTTATTTGTTACAGCGATGCAAAATTGCAATTATCGTACGTGTAATTTGACAAGTTTAACTTTCTAGCTATAACA